GAATGAATGAATGCATGACGGGTAAGGGTGTCCCAGGGTTGAGCTGGGAAGCCTGTCTGTGTGACTTTGATGTAATGACTACTGTCGGGAACTCCATGGGATTTTCCTCCTCCAAGTGGCTCTGATTTCACTGAGACCGCCTTTACTCTCTTGATAGTTCTGGAATTCCTCTTGAGTAAGTGGGTCTTAAACTTCAGAGCACAAAAGAATGGCTGGGGAGATCCCAGAGGCCACCTTAGAGATAAGGAATTAGTGGAGCTGTCCTGGGCTGAGGGAATCTAGTTGTTCACAATCTCTTTTCCACTAGGCAGCCAGGCATCTTAAAATTCTTAAATCCGACCGTCACTCCCTTGCTGAAAACCCATCGACGGTTTCCTGGTGCCCCAGTGATGAAATCCAAACTCGTTGTCCCTTTAGTACCTGCGTGCCCCAGCCCGTCCATCTGCCATCAATGCACTGGGTTCTCTCTTGCCTTGGGGACTTCGTCACGGAACTGTTCCTTCTACCTGGAAGACTCTCCCCCTCTTCCCACTCCCATTTTCGCCTGCAAGTTGTCCTTACCTGGTTGTCTGATTTTTCTTCAGTCTTCAGCCTAGAAGCCCTCTCCTCCCAGAGGCCTTCCTGATCCCCAACCGCACAAGGGCCCTCTGCTGGCCACACATCCCTGGCCATCACCCAGAGCTGACGCAGGGTATGGTAATTGTCTCTCTTGTGCAACTGTAAGCTTGTTGAGGGCAGAAACTATCCCGGTGCCCAGAACCTAGCACCGTCCCTGGCACACAATTGGTGGCAACTTGGGGGAAGACAGCATTTATTTGGATGGCCAACTGTGTGTGTGTGTGTGTGTGTGTGTGTGTGTGTGTGTGCTGAGAATCTGCCCTGTGCCTGGTGTTACTCAGGACTAATCTTTCCCATCTTTTAAGGCGAAGCCTCCCTTTGTGTGGTCCCCGATACCTTACGGCTTGGTGGTAATAACAATGTTAATAATTAAGAAGGATCAAGTACTGATAACAGACTGGGCTACTGGGTGCTGCTTTGTGTGCTTGCTCTCTAAGTGTTAACTCATCAGTCGTATTTTGACCCGATGAGATAGGCCCTAGTATCTCATTTTACAAACAAGAAAATTGAGGCACAGGGTAATTTAGAGAAAGGAGCATTTTGAATCAGGCAGTTCTGGGTTTTATTTTTTTTTTTATTTTTTTTAAGATTTTATTTATTCATGTTTTTCCCCCCAAAGCCCCAGTAGATAGTTGTATGTCGTAGGTTCACATCCTTCTAGTTGCTGTACGTGGGACTCGGCCTCGCGTTGGACGGAGAAGTGGTGCCTTGGGGCGCGCCCGGGATCCGAACCCGGGCCGCCAGCATCAGAGCGCACGCACTTAACCGCTAAGCCACGGAGCCGGCCCAGTTCTGGGTTTTAATCCAACCTCCACCTCACCAGCAATGCACGACCTTGGGCAAGTCACAAAGGTCTCTGAGCCTCTGGTCTTTCCTGCATCTGTGAAATGTGGGTCATAATAATCCCTGACCTATTAGGATGTTGTGAGAATTCATGCAAAGTGCTTAGCACGTGGTGAGAACTCCATACACTAGGAGGCATTATAGTATATTATGATTTGTTGTTTCATCATCGGTGCATGTTGTAGACATCCAAAAGTGGAGTTGTTTACTAAATAGAACTGAATGCTCCTCAAATAATTGCCATCAGGGTTTAAAAATGGGGATGCCTTCTTTTTTGACTCTTTGCAAGAGCCTCCTTGAACGCATTTGAATGTTCTCTGAACACACATTTATTAAACTTTTTGTGTAGCAAGAAGTGGAGGTCGGGGGGCCGGCCCCGTGGCGTAGTGGTTAAGTGCGTGCACTCCGCTGCTGGTGGGCCGGGTTCAGATCCCAGGCGCGCACCGATGCACTGCTTGTCAGGCCATGCTGTGGTGGCGTCCCATATAAAGTGGAGGAAGATGGGCACAGATGTTAGCCCAGGGCCAATCTTCCTCAGCGAAAAGAGGAGGATGGGCATGGATGTTAGCTCAGGGCTGAGCTTCCTCACAAAAATAAAAAAAGAAGTAAAGGTAGGAAGCAGGAGGCTTCCTGGAAACGGTCTTGTAGGCAGGGTGAGGCCCAGGTGAGATTTAGAAGGGGCATGGCCCACCCATAAGGCTGGAAACTGTACTTACTGATGGCTAGATGTTCATCCAATCAGTCCTTACTGTGTGCCAGGCACAGTGCAGGGCTCTGTGGATAGCTGTGGTCCCCACGTTGGCGGAATTGACTCCCCAGGGCAAAGACAGGCATTACTACCGTATTATTTAATTACAATTTTGAGGAGTGCTCCAGAGAAGAGAAACTCAGTCCCCTGAGAGCCAATGACAGGGGCTTGGGATCTGATCCCCTTAGTAAGTAACATTTCCAAGGAGGCCTGAAAGTCTTCCTTGGAAGAGGAGAGCAAAGAGGAACATCCCAGGCAGTGAGAGTGCATGGAGGCCAGAGGCTGGGCAGAGGAGGTTTTTTTTGATTCCCCTGAAACTTTTTGCTTGAGAAAGATTGGCCCTGAGCTAATATCTGTGCCAATCTTCCTCTACTTTATATGTGGGTCACCCCCACAGCATGGCTGACGAGTGGTGTAGGTAGTGGTGTGGTGGTGTAGGCTGAACCCACGAACCTGGGCCGCCGAAGCAGAGTGTGCTGAACTTAACCACTATGCCACGGGGCCGGCCACGGGAGGAGTTTGAATTGCTGTCGGGGTGTCAGGGAATGGGCCAGAGCACCTGCTGCTTCAGGATGGGCAAATGAGGACTGGAGAAACTCCACAGGGCCCCTTGCTGCCCGACTGCTCCTTCTCCTCCTCCTCCTCTTCCTCCTCTCCCTCCTCTCCCTCCTCTCTCCTCCGGTGAGCCCTGCTCTCCCTTTCAGCCTCCTCTTCTCTGGGACATGTGCCTGCTGAAGACTTTCCCCCTGGAAATGCTTCCCAAACTGTCCTGCCCAGCCAAGGTATAATACTCTCTCCAGCACAGCTAAGCATTCATCTGTTCGTTCATTCACTCTTTTCCTTTTACAAATAAGCCACATAAAACTCGAATGCTACAAAGAGAGAAAAATAAACCTTAAATTATCCAGAGGCAACTGCTATCAATATTTGGATCTATACTTCTAGGTTTTGTTAAAAACATATATTGTTATAAAAACAGGATACACTGTATGTAAATTACATTTTATAAAAACTTTAATATGCCGCAAACATTTTGCCACATTTAAACATCTATATAACAACACTGTTAATGGCCACCTGAGATTCTATATCATGTATCAGAAATATTCAACCAAAAGCCTACTGTCCATTCTTTCTCAAATATTTAGTGCATACCTGTTGCGTGCCTGTGCCATGACTTTGCTTGAAATTTAGGCTAACTGCAGGACCTTACTATTATCATAGTAATACTATTAGAAATGATGTGTTGCTGAGTATTCTTGGGGCTCAACATCTGTGCGAATCTGTAATCATTGACTCAGAAAAAATTCCCAGAAGTGAGACTTCTAGATTAAAGAGGAGGCACACTTAAAGGTCAAATTACCCTCCCATTAGGTTTTACCTATTTACATTCACACCCACTTCCTGTGTTTAGCCTCCTAATAATGTCCATTACTTTCTCTACTTCCTCTTTTGGTTCCTAAACCCTCTGCAGGCTGGCTTTTGTCCCGACTACTCCACTGAAATCGTTCTCACTAAGGCCATCAGATATCATCCAGAATGTCGATTTCAGTGATTGATCTGTTTTCTGGCCTTATCTTCATTGTCCTGTTTGGGGCATTTAATACCTTGGACCACCTGAAGTATTCTCTTCCTGAAATATTCTCCTTCCTCCGTCAGGTAAAGCAGGTCTAGTCTTACTAGCTTCATTTTACAGCTAGGAACCAAGGCCCAGACGGGTACTAAGTCTACTAAAGACGGCAGCACACTGTTCAGGCTTCAGATCCAGGCCTGCCAACTCCCACAGCCTTGAGCTCTTTTTTGAGTCTGATTTTTGGAATCCTTGGTGATGAGTGCAGATTCTTCTAGTGTTAAGAGGGGCTCACACAGAGAATTTTGTCTGGTTCTACTTTTTTTCTAGGAAGAAACTTCTATTGCATTTCATTTTTTCCCAGTGTTGCTAATCTAATTGTCCTCAGCGCCTTGGCTGGAACGGGGTCCTAAGGAGGACTCAGTCGTGCGGTGTTCCAAACCTGATTGGGCAGGTTTCCATCTGAGAGTTCAGGGATAGGAGGAAAGCGGCCCAGAGGACATGGCTGGAGGATTCCTGCCAAGAGACTCGGAACTGGGCTTTGGGGCCAAGCAGCCGTCTGCGGGGTTTTGGGCAAATGTGATCCAGGCTTTACTGGGTGACCCGGGGCAGTTACTTCTTGGACCATCAGCACTCTAATGCAACATGTAACAGTTGCTTCTTTATAGAGTTGTTTCGAAGATTTAATAAGATCAACATACATAAAGCTCTGGGCTCTGCCTGACACACGGTAGACACTCAAGAACTGGTAGTTATTCGGGTCTTTAATTTCGATTTAACAAGCATTTTTCTATATTCGACCTCATTTGGGCCTTCCAACTATTCAACCACGCTCTGAATCCGCATATGGATATTTTAAGTCACCATTCTATTGAGGCAGAAACTGAGGATCAGAGGGCGAGCGCTTGGCTTCGAGGTGGCCGCCAACTGGAGCCGCGCGGTTCTCGGTGCACCAGGCTGCTCAGCTGGCTCTGCGATCCCAGGCCCCACAACTCGCCAGCCCGCCGCGGCCGCAGCCTCGCGCACTAACCTCTGCGCCTGGCCGCTCAGCGCCATCTTTGATCCTGGCAGGGATGCCTCACTTCCGCACTTCCCTCCCCCCGCAGGAGCTGCGGCGCATGCCCCAAGCGTGCCTTTTCTGTGTATGGGGTATCCCAAGCCGGTCATGCTTTGTCGCACAGGCCGAAAACAATAATTTCTCTCTTTTTCTCGGCTCTTGGAGGAGGTGCTCTGACCAATTCAAAAATGGCGCCGATAGCCTTACCTCCCCAGTGTTCCGTGGGAGCCGTAGGGGCAAAGGTCATGTTGGAGTGCGCCGGCGCGAGAGGGCGGAGCCATCTCCATGGTAACCCGCGCGCAGCCCAGGCAGCCCAGGCAGCCCAGGCGGGCGGGAAGTGCTGGTGCCGAGATGCTGGCGACAGGCGGGGCTGCGAGCGCCGAGGGGCCCGGGCGGCCGGGGCCGCTGCAGGACGAGACCCTGGGCGTGGCGTCCGTGCCTTCGCAGTGGAGGGGTGCCCAGGGCATCCGCGGGGAGACGGTGAGGGTGCGGGCCCGGCACTGGGCGACGCGGGCCGGAGGGCGAGGGGCCCAGCGCGGCCGTCGGGCCAGGTTCTGACGTCCCACCGTTTTCTTTTTCTATTTTAATCCACAGAAACTAACCCTTGGGATATCTCGTCCCAGTTTCCCCAGTCTTTGAACAACAACAAAAGGGGTTTTTCTTTAAAACCTCTAAAGACCTCACGTCTTGAAGGATTTTCTGCAGTTTTTAGGCGTTTCAAACTAACTTTCGTTTAAAAAAAATGACCCAGCTGTATCTTAAGGTCGAGAAACGCCGGTTTTCTAGTAGTTTAATCAAAAGCACACAAAACGAGGCTCTTTGATGAGATGAGAGGCAGGGCTTCTGGGTGTCGGGTCTCCTGAGGGGTCTGTGTGCAGACTTAGAGCGCCTGCTGTGTGCCCAGAGCTATTGGTGCTGGGGATGCATCAGTGAAGGAGCTCTCCTGGAGCTTCCGCAGGGCTGTGGTTTGCAGGGGATAGAACACAAAAAACGGATGTAATAAGTTATGTGTGTTAGAAGGTAAATGGTGCATGGACAAAAGAAAAAGCAGGGTGAGGGGTTAGAAGGACTGGATTGGGGAATGAGAGGGTGACATTTGAGCAAAGCCTTAGAAAAGTGTTAGCCAAGTGGATACTTGAGATAGAACGATCCAGGCAGAGCAAAGGGCAAGTGCAAAGGCCCTGGAGTTGGAGCAAATCTGGTGTGTTTGAGGAGGCGGGTGGGGCTGGAGAAGAATGAGGGGAGGGGAGAGTGGTCCCAGGTGAGGTCCAAGAGGGTAAACAGAGGCAGGTCAAGTAGGGCTGGGCAGATCATAGTAAGGATGTTAGCTTTTCCTCAGTGAAAATGAGGAGCATTTTGAGGTGCTGCACATTTCCCAGAAGAGAGAACTAAGGCATAGCTTGCCACACCGGTGGTCGAAGCTGCAGAGCCCAGGTCATCACCAAGACCAATGAGGTTTCCCTGAAGGCTTAGTCTGGGAACAGGTTTCTTGCCTCAGGCCAACCATCTGCAGGTCTTAAGCCAAGATTTGCTCTGGGTTCAAAGCACTTCCTACTTCACTGTGCTGCATAGGAATGTTCTAGTTAAAAGCAGACAGTGGATATTTTAGTTATATCTGTCCATCCTTAGCATAGATAAATATATAATTCACATTCACTGACCTTTAAAAAAAAAGTACTTGAAATAGCTCTTGCTTGCTGGAGATTCAGAATTTATAAGACGAGGCTGGGGGGCCGGCCCCGTGGCTTAGCGGTTAAGTGCGCGCACTCCGATGCTGGTGGCCCGGGTTCGGATCCCGGGCGCGCACCGACGCACCGCTTCTCCGACCATGCTGAGGCCACGTCCCACATACAGCAACTAGAAGGATGTGCAACTATGACATACGACTATCTACTGGGGCTTTCAGGGAAAAATAAATAAATAAAATTAAAAAAAAAAAAAAAAGACGAGGCTGGGAACCATTGATTTTAGTACTTGAGTTGTTCAGGCTTTCATCTGTGAGGGTAGTTTGTTTGAATCAGCCTCTTCTGTCTTATGGAAGGAGACCATTAAGTTGTAAGAATGTTGCAAGAGTTGTAAGAAAGTGGTAAATTGCTTTTTCCAAATTAACTTTCTTCTCTTTATGAAAGTTGTGTGTCCAAAATTTAGAAAAAAATCTGGATAAGAAAAAGAGTGGAAATAAAAATCACCCCACAATCTCATTCCTTAGCCATTTGGCTTGTACCTGTCGCATGTCTGCTTTGTTTTCTCCTACATTTTTTTTTTACAAAAATTGAATCACACTATGCATAACATTTTTTTTTTTTGTGAGGAAGATCAGCCCTGAGCTAACATCTGTGCCAATCCTCCTCTTTTTGCTGAGGAAGACCAGCTCTGAGCTAACATCTATTCCAATCCTCCTCCTTTTTTTTCCCCGAAGCCCCAGTAGATAGTTGTATGTCACAGCTGCACATCCTTCTAGTTGCTGTATGTGGGACGCGGCCTCAGCGTGGCTGGACAAGCGGTGTGTCGGTGCGCTCCTGGGATCCGAACCCCGGGCCGCCAGTAGCGGAGCGCGCACTTAACCGCTAAGCCACCGGGCCGGCCCTATGCATAACATTTTGTAGACCCATTTTTTTCACTTAATACACCCTGAACATGTTAAAAATTTTTTTTTTTTGGTGAGGAAGACTTGCCCTGAGCTAACATCTGTTGCCAATCTTTCTCATTTTTTGCTTGAGGAAACTTAGCCCTGAGCTAACATCTGTGCCCATCCTCCTCTAGTTTGTATGTGGGTCGCCACCTCAGCATGGCTGACGAATGGTGTGTCCGTGCCTGGGATCTGAACCCATGAACCCGGGGCCACTGAAGCGGACTCTGAGAACTTAACCACCGGGCCAGGGGGCTGGTCCCTAAAAATTTTTTTTAACTTCATTTTACTTAACCAGTCCCTTTTGGTGGGCTGTTAGCCTGTTTCCCATTTTTTCTTTTATCAATAAACAGTGTGACTGTTTTAGCTAAATTTTTGTACAGTTTCTTAATTTTTTTGTAAGTTCCTTTGGAAAAGTCGAGCATTGGTCTTTGGTCATGTGGCTGTGCAATATTGGAATGTACTTGCATGTTCCAGTAATGGATTTTTTTTTTTTTGGTGGGGATTGGCCCTGAGCTAATATCTGTTGCTAATTTTCCTCTTTTTGCCTGAGGAAGATGGTCCCTGAGCTAACATCTGTGCCCATCTTCCTCTACTTTATATGGGACACTGCCACAGCATGGCCTGATGAGTAGTGTGTAGGTCCACGCCCGGGATCTGAACTTGCAAACTCCAGGCACCAAAGCAGAGCACGCGAACTTAACCACTATGCCACTGGGCTGGCCCCTGGATTTTTTTTTTTTTTTTGGTATTAATGGTCTTTGGCCTGACTGACTTTTCTTGTCAAATCTCAATCTGTTCACAGAGGGACAGGGTTGTGGACTGTGGTTTGACACCGGAAGTTTTTTTTTTTCTTTCTTCCTGAAGCCCCCCCCAGTGCATGGTTGTATATTCTTTTTTTTTTTTTTTTGTGAGGAGATCAGCCCTGTGCTAACATCTGCCAATCCTCCTCTTTTTTTGCTGAGGAAGACTGGCCCTGGGCTAACATCCATGCCCATCTTCCTCCACTTTATATGGGACGTGGCCACAGCATGGCTTGCCAAGCGGTGTGTCGGTGCGCGCCTGGGATCCAAACCTGCGAACCCCAGGCTGCTGCAGCGGAGTGCGCACACTTAACAGCTTGCGCCACCGGGCCGGCCCATGGTTGTATATTCTAATTGTAGGTCCTTCTAATTCTTCTATGTGAGCTGCTGCCATAGCATGACAACTGACAGACGAGTGGTGTGGTTCCGTGACTGGCAAATGAACTTGGGCCACTGAAGTGTGAGAGCGCTGAACTTTAACCACTAGACCATCAGGGCTGGCTTGAGACTGGGCTTTGAGTGCATGGACTCTTTAGGGGCTCGGTTTTGGACCAGTCATGTGATCTCTTCTGCAAAGTGGGTCTTGTTAGAATACTTCCTGTGGGATTAAATGAGGTGCTGATAAGAAAGCAGTTGGAGAGCCCAGTGCTGTTCAGGTGGAGGGGATTATGAGTCTCAGGACTGGTCCCGCTCTCAGAGAGAAGGCTCCTGATCATCCTGACCCTGCTCGTCCACTGTTTCTCAACCTTGGCTGACACTGGAATGCCCTGGAGAGTCTTGAAGAATATGGATGTCTGGGTCCTGCCTCCAGCGATTCTGGCTAAATTGGTATGTGGCGTGACCTGGGAATCTGGTGTTATAAAAGCTCCCCAGGTCATTCTAACATGTAGCAAAACCTGAGAACCGCTAATTTAATCCGTCCAACTTTCCAGCAGTTACCTTTCTGAAGCACGTTGTGATCCCATCAGAATGTAGGGTGCATTTTCCCTTTTGTTTGTGGTAGGATACATACAATGTAAAATTTACCATATTGAAGAGTGCAATTCAGTGGTATCCAGTATATTCACAATGTGCAACCATCACCACTATCTAGTTCTAGAACTTGCTCATCAGTGGATGCATTTTGGGTGTTCAAGTCTGTCTCCTTTGGGCTCTGAGCTTCCAGAGGGTAGGGAGTGGGTCTTGTGAACTTTTGCATCTCCCAAAGGCTCCGGGAAATGCTGAACTGAATAATTTTCTCTCCTGTCATCCACGGGCCGGCTTCTGCTGCATTTCTCCTCTCCTGCTTTGAATTAAACTTAGCAGCCTACCTGTTGGCTCCTTCCTCTTCCTGGGCCAGCCCCTGCTTCCCCGCCTTGGTGGGCTCTGCAGCATATGGCACCCCCTGCTGGAGGGTGTTGTTGTTAACCTGGGGTCTGGGCTCTTACCGGTTTTCAAGAATTAAATCCGTGGTTCTCAACGTTTTGGAGTTTGTTAGACAGTTTTGATACTAGATTTCTTTTGAAGTACATGTGAAGGGATTAAACAACTAAGACAACACCAGAATAGCCTGCAGTGATTACAGCTCAGAGGTGGTGTAGCATGACAGCGTCTCCCAGCTCCTGTGAAGACGTGGGCTGTTGCCCTCTTCACTTGGTGACTGTCGGCTCCAGGTCAGCCTTTGAGTAGCTGTTTGCTGCCCTGATCTACTCCAGAGGCAAGTTCAAGTAAACAGAAGATGTTCCTTGTCGGTTTGGGGTTCGGGTACTCCACACTCTTAGGGGTCTCACGTGAGGCAGTTGTCTATATTGCATCACAAAACTCCCTCAGCTCAGCTTTGTATCTAAGGTATTTCTGTCACACCACCTGCTTCTGCTCATTAGCATCAAAAATCGCTTCACACTCGCATCAGGTTTTGGCAGTGTCCGCAGGAGGGGTTTGCAGTATGTGATAAAGAGCCCTGAATAAGGTCGGAGTCATCTTGGCTCCTATCACCCGTGTCCATCAGGTGTGTGTGCAAGACTCTGCGAGGAAAGGTGATGGAAGGCGGGCTCTGGAGTGCCGGGAACCTGAGGAAAAGGGAAGTTCTGGGAAGGGGCAGCCGAGGTGGGTCTGAATGGAAGTGGTAAGGTAGCAGTGACGAGCCACTCCCACACAGGCCAGGCAGTGTCCCTTTGGTGGGCTCTCCATCAGCAGCATTCCTCAGCCTCCGGGGAGCGGCCCTGTCCCCCCCCATCACCTCTAGATGAAACCGGCCTGGAGTAGGGCAGAGGGGGTGATGTGAGCACTGTGCTCCATGAGGAGAGGCTGAGAGACTCTGGGTCTGGGCCCTGGGGCGTGGCCACAGGAAGCATGCAGATGAGGGGCGAGGCCCACATCTGGGGTCTGAGCGCCCTCCCTGCCTGCAGCGCCCTGTCACCTGGGGGCTTGTTAGGGAAGCAGCTTCTCAGGCCCCACCCCAGACCTACAGAACTGGAAACTCAGTGTGGGGGCTGGGGAGGCAGCAATTTGTCCTTTAGCAAGCCTCCAGGTGCTTCTGGGGCCCTGCTAGTTGAGAATGCTGGTCTAGAAAGGTCTCTGAGGTCCCGGTCCACTCTGGAGTCTGGTGTGCCAGTTGGGAGGGTGGAGTGAGAAGCTGTCACCAGTATTTGCTGGTGCTGGTTACTACCCAGGGGAGAAATGGGGCTCGGCCTTCAGCTGCATGTCATCCCGGACCCTCACACGTTCTCTGTATGGTGCCGTATTGCCTCAGTTGTAGGACACGTTCCCCCCTCCCTTGACAGGTCTTAACAAGGGCTGTCTCATGCTGATGTGTGTATTTAATATAGTTTCCCCCTGAAGAGCCATTACTAAAGAATTGGTATGTTTCACAATCGATAGTTAAGGAGATCTAGAATGTGTATTGTTAAGAAGGTGACTGTATTCTCCTCACGGCCTTGGAGTTTGTCCACCCGGTACTGACACCCCGTGAGTAGGTTTCTCTGGCTGGATGGTTTCTGAGGGACTGAATCGCGTGTGGGCACCGCTGGCCCTGGCATCTTTTCCCCTCCGTGGCTGAAGGCAGGAAGAGCCCGGTTCTCTCACAAACACCCCTCTGGGCCACTGTCGATGGCTGCGTGCGGGCAGGTGGCTGGACAACTGACCCTGCGGGGCCATTTCCTCTGTCGTGACGAGTGTTCCTGAAATTGACCGAGCAGTCCTAGAGGCCTTGTAGGGTGGCGGTCTGGGCATCAGGGAGCCCTCCTGGGTATTGGTATCTGATAGCAAGCAGCAGAAACCAGCCCGAACCAGCTCCTGTCAGACGCTTTTCTTTCGGATGCAGAGGTGTCTCCTGGGCTCGGCGTGGGGGTGCAGCTGGTCCTGAGGAAGGGGCAGGAGCCGGAATCCGGAAGGCTCTGGGGGCCTCCCTCCATCTCAGCTCTGCTGTTGCCCCACCGCCCCTGAGGCCTGTCTGCACGACTCCTGTCCCCACTGTGGCACTGGCTGATTGTTTGCACCCAGGTTCCATGTTTCTGTTCCAGGCACGTGTCATTCATCTTGTTGAATCTTTGTCTTGCTTCTGAATTTCCTTGAGAACCCAGTTGGCCTGGGTCTGTGTCTGCTTCTCATCCAGTCAGTAGCTACAGCCCTGGTGTTGGGGCCTAGTCTGTGGCGTGGGTAGGAGGTTTTCTGAGAAACTGGGCCTTGTTGGGTGGGCAGATTCTCTAGAAGGTGTCTCCTCACTGTCTGGGCCTCGGTTTCCTTCATCAGCGAGACGCAGGAGTCCTGACGTTCTGGGTATCTGCGGGCACTCGTGGGCAGGAGAGCTGGGCTGCCACCCTGGGCTCTGCTCCCTGAGTCCCGCCACCTTCCTGCTCCGCTGAAGCCTGATGAGCTTGGTTTGGGAGCTGTTCTCCTGTTTCCCTCGGCCACACCTCCCAGTGTGATCAGTCTGGCTCTGGCCTACCTTTTCCCCTGCAGCACCTTTGAGGGGTGGGAGGCAGCCTGCAGGCCCAGCGTCCCCAACACGCTCCTTCCCAGTGCCGCTGAGGCTTGGGAAGCAAGGGTCCTGCTCACCCCCAGATTCTTCCTCTGACTGCTCAGAGGGCCCATTATGGGAGCCTCACCCTTGCCCCAGCCACACGCTGCCTGGCGTGGAAGGCGCCCCTCTATGTGGGGTGGCCGTGGGCAAGCCCTTTCCTCCTAGGGACCTCGGGGGCTCATCCCCAGATGGGTCAGGGTCAGGCCAGGTGCGTGTATCTCGCACCATGGGAGCTGACTTAGGTGTCCTAGAGTGAGAAGAGAATAATGGTTTCTTATCAATTCACAGAGAAAAATTGTGGGTGCAATGTCATTGGTTTTTTCCCTCCATAGATTTTCCTTAGTGTTTTGGCATCTGTTATTTGCCCGAGTAAGGAATGTGGATAGAAATATCTGAAAAGTTAGGAGCTTGCCATCTCTGTGGACAGTTTGTTTGTGGCTATGATGTTACATTAATTTCTGCATGAAGTTGTTCGTGTAACATTCTCTTAGAAACAAGGGTAATGTTCTCTTAGAAACATTGTTTTGAGTTCATCTGATGTGATTAGCGGCCAGGATTTTAGACTGTTTAGGAGAGAACACCATGACTGAGAGTTTAGTGTCACAGGTCAGACTGCCTGGGTTCAAGCTCCATTGCGATCACCTCTTTGCTATGTGACCTTGGGTGAGTTACTTAACTTCTCTGTGCCTCAGTGCCAACATGAGTAATGCACAAATAGGATTTACTTCATAGAGTGGTTGTGAGGATGAATACGATGATACGAGTAGAGCTTTGGGGACACTGCCTGAATTCACACTTAATAACCAGCGCTCTTGCCATCATTGTGGCTTCCAGGAAGTTTGAGATTCACCCACAGTCTCTTAGAGTTTTGGCTCGGCGTTTATACTTGCTGATCCCTGTGCCCATCCATTAATTCCTCAGTGCACATGCTCCCTTGGTGCACTCCTGCAGTCCTGTGGCTTCAAGTCACGTCCCTGGTCAGATGCTTTCCAGAGCCTCATGTTTCGAGACCTCTCCCGGGACCTCGCCGCCTCCCTGGGGATGTCTGGGAGGCGTCTCAGTCTGAAGGAGGTTAGCAGGACTGCTTCCCTGCTCTCTTCTTCTGGAATTTGCCCTCACGTTCAGGGACGTCCCAGCCACTGGTTGTCACAGCAGGGGCACCTGCCCTCCGCCCCCCACTTCTCCCTCAGTGGCCAGGGCCCGTCTGGTTTCACTTCATGGCCCTGCTCATGGCCGCCCCGAGGCTTACACCCAGGGGGACACGCCCGCTCTTCGTCCTGGCTCTTGCACTCTCCCTCACCTGCACCCAGCACGGCGCCTGCTGTCTGGTCTCTGAGTGGGGCCCTTTTCTACCATAAGGTTTTGCTCTGGTACCCCTCCGCCCCGCCCCTGCCGGGACCCTCTCTCCTGCAGCTCCCCACTTGTCCTGCACACGCAGGCTCAGGTGCCGGCTCCCCAGAGGCCTCCCCCGCCATCCCGTCCCAGTTGCCTCCCTACTGTTCCCTCCTCCCCAACCTTGGCTCACTTAGCACTGTTGGTGTATGATGGGGCTTCCCTTGTTTGTCTGTCTCCCCCAGCCCCACGTAAGCTCCTCGGGCACAGGAATCTTGCACATTTTGGTGTTTTCTGTTATATCCATAGTGCCCAGACAGTGCCTGCCAAGTAGATGCTAGCTAGCTAAATATATTTAAAAAAATAAAAACAAATAAAAACAATTAAAATAAAAATAATAAAATTAAACAATATAAATAATAAAAATATATAAAAAATTTAAAAGTGTGTGTGTAGGTGTATATATATATTATTATTATTTTTGTATAAATGAACTCGTACTGTGAGCCACATGCCATGGGAAGTGCTGGGGATGTAAAGAGAGATCCCACGGTTCTTGTGCTGGAGGCGTGCAGATTAAGGGGGATGGACAGGCACAGAGAGGATCAGGTAGAGGGTGAAGGGGAGTGTGGGGACAGTGCTGAGGGCCTCATGTTCTAACGGGAGCTGCCCTGTGTGGGGCCAGCCCCCTTCCTCTGGGGTCACTAACACTGGCCTGGTGCCCAGCCCTGACCCCCAGGCCTGAGCAGGGGAGCACGGGGGTCCTGGCCTCGTCACTGCCCTGCGAGTGCTGGTGCCTGGTGAGCGGACACGTGAGGAGGGCCTCTTGTGGAGGACAGTAATCTCCGTGATACAGGGCGCTCATTTGGTGAAGATGGGTCAGGTCCGTAAGAAGGCGGCTGTATCTCCTTTGCTGGTCTGATGTCTGTCCCTGTGCCCCGCTAAACAGGGGACAAGGACTTGGAGACAGAGGGCAGGGTGGAGAGAAGGGGCAGCCTGGAGCAGCCTGCCTTCTGCCAACCAGCTCATCGTGGACACGTGTTTCCTTTGGTCATGGAGGCACCGTGGAAGGTACCCTGCCCCAGAGGGCTGCCTGCCAAGGCAGGGGGAAGAGAGGTGTCCTGCTGGTGGCCAGGTCTGAGCTTCTCCGTGTGCTGGCTCTAAGACTGCGTGATTCTTATTGCTGTCAGCATCTTCAGAAAGCGCACTCCTGCGTCGCCTCCAAAGAGTGTCACCGAAAGTCCTGGGTCAGGCTCTTATTGGGTCATGTGGCTACCCCTGAACCAATCACTGTGCCTGGGGGAGGGACCGAGTGCTCTAATTGGCTAGCTGGAGGTCAGGCATCGCTCTCAGTGGAGCATGGGAGGGTTGAGGGTCATCTCCACCCTCACGACACAGATTGGGTTCTTCCTAAGAAAGATGGGCTAGTTATCAGAGGAAGGGGACAAACTTTGGGCAGACAGAAGGAACAGAGGTGCATTAGCCTGAGGGTAGATGGCAGCCAGAAGGTGAGTGTTCAGCAGAGGAGGGGCGTGCCCCAGGCGGGGATGCTGGGAGAACAGCTGGCTGGTGACTGGGTTTCCATCTCCTTCTCCAGAAGAGTTGCCAGACGGCCAGCATTGCCACCGCCGAAGCGTCCTCCCAGACCCGGAAGTGTGCAGATGCCGAGGTGCAGACGGAGGCCCCCGAGCTGGTCCGCGTGCCGTCTGTGTCCCGGCATGACGGCCCCCGGCTTGCGGCCTTTCTCCGGAGAGTGGAGGCCATGGTGATCCGCGAGCTGAACAAGAATCGGCGGAGCCACGCCTTTGATGGCTTCGAGGTGAACTGGACGGAGCAGCAGTGGACGGTAGGGCATGGGCGGGTGTGGGCCTGGGCGCCTCCCTCCTCCGCCTCAGCTCGGGCCTCTGCCCCATTTTAAGGCCATCTTTTGGGCCATTCAAATAATAATAATACCAGTAATAGTAACAGCATCCCCTGGGCTCTTACTTTTAGCCAGGATGGAGCTCTGTTTTACAAGAATGAGTTGTTGGGCCATCTTTGCCGCCCGTGAAATAGCTGCTGGCGTTATCTCCACTTTACCACTGGGGAAATGGAGACTCAGAGCTGAAGGAACTTTTCCAGAATCACACCGAGCCATTAAGCAGCTGAGGCAGGATTTGACCCTGTGCAGTCTGACTCTGGATCTTATTCTCCTACCACTCGGTGGGGCTCCCCAGGCACTATGCAGTGAGAGCTTTCTCTGTGCCGTCTCAGTCAGTCCTCAGGACAACTGTGTGAGGTAGTGCTGTTCTGATCTCCATTTTATAGATGAGACTCAGAGGCTAAGTGACTGGTCCAAGGTCGCACAGCTATAACTGCCTGAGCTGGAATTCGAGCCCTGGTCGGTCTGGTTTCACTACTGAGCTCTAGTGACTTCAGCATCTCTAACTCCTTCTGCTCTTGAGGCATAGCTCAGAGCCGTCACCCCGTAAACAGGATGTCCAGCTGGACACACAGCCGAGGCTTCGAGATCAGAGGGCCTCTGAGTGAATGAGGGGCTCCTGGCTTTTGCTCGGGGCTCGGCCTCGTCCTCTCCAGCGGCCTCATCCTCCCCTGCGGCCTCGTCCTCCCCAGCGGCCTGGTCCTCCCCAGTGTGTGTTGCCTGTGGACAGGCTGCTCCCTCAGCAGCCTGTTTCAACTGTTTTTAATACAATGTTTTCTTCCTTTAGAAACGGACATGAGTAATTATGTATTCAGAGGTCATAAGCCCTTCTCTGGCCCCTCCCTCTCCTTGTGCCTTCGCTCTGTCTATTTCCAGATACACAGCTGCCCTGTTCCCACCAAATCCTTGGTGGGTACGGGTGAGTCGCTTTATGTGAGAGAAGTCCTCAAAATTGCTCTGAAGAGCAGTTGCCAAGGCCACACCAAAGTGGAGTCATTGTATCTTCATGCGGGGCACCGGGAGAAGAACCTAATGAACATTGAAGTCTCCTGTCTTGGTGCTCTCCCTCCTTCCCTCCCTCCCTCTCCTTGGCCTTGCTGATGCCGCTTTTACAGTTGCATTCAGAGAGGTTAAGCTTTTGTTCTTTATTATTAGGGCTTTTCCACATTTCTATGAGTTAATCTTGTCCACGGGTGTGTTACTGTCTCCACCCTTAAAAAGTATCGATACTTTACCTTTTTTTTTTTTTTTGTGAGGACGATCAGCCCTGAGCTAACATCCGTGCAAATCCTCGTCTTTTTGCTGAGGAGGACCTGCTCTGCGCTAACATCTATTGCCAATCCTCCTCCTTTTTTTTCCCCAAAGCCCCAGTAGATAGTTGTATGTCATAGCTGCACATCCTTCTAGTTGCTGTATG